GCGTGAAAATCCTTATACTACCATGTTATATCTCTAACTTGTATAGTCCTCTGGCTTAGTGGAATATGGGAACGCCCAATTTTTTAACGCGAAAGCTATCTGAACTCAGCTAGCATTATGATGCCGAGAGATCTGCAGAACTTGGATCCCAGGCCAGATTCGAACTTTTCTTTCTAGGGGCTCATGTGTTAACCACTGCACCACTGAGGTCCTTGCTTTGCTATTTCTATGACAATTTTCTACCTAACGGTGCCATCAGCAATCACCAAGTATATCACATCATACCTTGCCGCGAAAAATAATAGTAAGCAGTAAATGAAAAGTTAACGTCGGCAATCACTGTTCATTCTGCCTCTTCCTTATAAGTAACGAATATCAATTCACCATATTCAAGAGTGGTTGAGTGATTCATTGATGCATCGCCAAAGCATGTTATCATAAGTAGCGGTTTGTCAACAAGAGTTGGTGATATCTTGGTATTCACCTAAAGTAACAATTTTGTCGCGCAACCAACAAACTCTTACAAACTTCTTGTGAATTATGTGTAGAAAATGACTTTTCTCGCCTAACGTTTGCTACAACATCGATAGTATGGAAGCTACCGACTAAATAGGAGAGTATAGCACAAAAAGCATGATTGGCAAATTAGTCGGCTGAAAATGAGTTGAAATCAATTCACACTCACCGTTTTCTGCCTGAATATATGAGTTGAAGTCGACCCATGTCGAGCTGTATGTTCTAGTTATAGTTTACAGTGCATTTCGTCCATTTCTCCTCACACGTCACCATAATTCTTTTCTGGTTCAATTTCGGCTTTGGGAAGTGCTGTGGAGCCTGATCACAAACCAGTCATTGAGCTGAACTTTGCCGGTCGTCCAGAATCCAGTTCTCGCCGCACATCACAATTTGATAGAGGAAATGGTCGTGTTTGTTGCACAGAATAGGAGCAGACGACACTTCAAAACGGCGATTTTTTCGATTATCGTTTTTTCGTGCGACATCCGTTTGTAGTTTTTTGTCTTTCCTATGCGATTCAAGTGATTGGAAATTGTTTCTGTGCTTACGCCTAGCTGTTTTGCAAGCTCGAACAGTTGTTCGCGTGTTTGCTTCCACTAGTTCCTTCAATTCGTTGTCGTCAAGTTCATTGGGACGTCCGCGGCCTTCCTTATCTTCGAGGTCGAAGTCGCCAGATCGAAATTTCCGGAACTATTGATTCACCAACACTACCTTCATTCCGAAATTCATGAGTATTCGGGGCCGTCTCTGCTGCACTACGACCGAGTTTGAACTCATAAAAGAAAATTTGACTGAAACTGGTTTTCGACATCTAAAGTTGCAAAGTTCAAAACTTTTAAAGAAATTTAAGTATTGGCAAAATATAAAAAATTTTTAGAAAGAGCATAAATTCAGCTTTCTAATGTTATAAAATATTGCAAGGTACAAAGAATATTTTATTAGTAAAAAATGCATTGAACCAATAATTGTTTTAAAACGCTTTTATTTTTGAACAGTCTAATATACGTATATATATAGTCTTAAAAGTCTAGTCTTAAAAGCATATATATATATATATATGCTTTTAAGACTACTAAAATGGGGATTAATAGTATTATTCTTTCTGGTTAGTATGAGAACTACGTGGATTCCTGTAGTACATATCTTTCATCTTCCTGTCTGCGCTGTCGATTTACATTTCGTCAGTTCATTCATTTTATCTTGTGCCTATGAAAATGTCAAGCGAGTAAAAAATTTATAAACCAGTTTAGTGTTATATGGCATTTAGTGCAGTAATGTTTTATTTCTCTTCATTTATTAACCGTCATCATATATTTCCAGATGAAGTCCTCGTCGCCTCGATATTCCCCGTATGCAAAACCCAGCACCTCGTCTCCTACTTCGCTTCCATCGATTAATACTGTACTTCCTCCAACTTCACCTTATTCAATGCCAGTATCCCCGTCGTCCGGGTACTGTACCTTCAGTCCAGAATCCGGTACCATAACTCCACTCTCCCAACCGTTATTCATACAAACCGACGAGTCATACTGGTATGGTATGTCGACAACACCAACATACGCGTATGACGTCTGTAAATTCGGTTCTCCACCAGTGATGTCGATACGATATCCCTCTTCGCATTTACCTAATAGACGAATATTTTCACCTTCCTGTTACTAATAACCATTAAATTGTAATCTACCTTTTGTTTGTGCAATACAGTGTTGTGTTACGTGTATTTTCCGTTTTATAAACCTATTTGAACTAATGTTGTTGTTCAACGTACCATGAAATTTTCGTGATATACGAGAAGTTCACATTTCCTCTACAAGTTTGAATCAGTGAGTTATACTCGCTCTGAGAGCTTCTAGAGCCTGATATTTTTACTTTAAGATCGTTCTGAAGAAGTCAGGTTAACGGACTTGCTGTAACGTTAGGTTGACACCTCGTTGGACACAGGAATCTCAGTCACTAGGCCTCCATTAAATGTGGAGTCCAGTTGACTTCTGATATCTTGGTGTGTATGTGCGCTACGATCTTCCCGTAATCCATGAAGCATTTAGAGCTCCGAATACACCTATTGATGTTAGTCACAAATGCGCCCGCATACCTTGCAGGTAGCCAACCCTGAGAGATGAGTGGCCGTGTGCATTTATACCGACGCGGATTGATACCTACGATTTATTTCCTCCTAAAGGGTCCATCTCCTATATGCTCTGTGGTTAATCGATTGATTAGTTGATACAGATGCTGTTTTTGACGTGGTCTACAAAAGCTGTTCTCCACTAATAATCCACAGAAAATCCTTTTTCTCGACGAATTCTTCAGTTCAAGCCTCGAACAAGGGAAAATCAAGCATCACCTGAAAGGCTGTAACACAAAAGTAGGTGTAGCCTGGCACGCGTTGAAGACGTTAGTATCGACGCCACTTTTCTTATCCAAATGTTACTCATCTGTGCACATCGCGATGGATATCTATGTTTCATTTTCGAGTTATAGTCCCTTAGATCTCCTAGACTGCAGTTCCGCTACACGTCTTAGCGGACGCGTGGAAATTCCGACGTCGCTAAAATGTCAACCATATTTCAGTCCCATAGTAGTTCTGCGAGGAGCACTCAATCAAAATCGCAGGTGCGAATTGTTACGTTTGTTAAATGCGACCTGAGAAGCACTGCTTTTTTGCATAATCTTTCTTTGAAGTTGTGTTTCATGTTCACTGAGCATATTTGGTAAACTTATGAGGTGAGGTGTTTCATCAAAGAAGCATCCATTTTAATTGTCATCCGTCGTATCATGGGATTTGACGAACATGGATTTATTCCGGTTCATGGGCAATCCTATTCTTTTTCCGCTCTGGTTGACCTCCTTCAGCATCGTCGTTCCTTCACTCATAATTCTCAAAACGACGACGATGTCATCAAGAGAACGAAGATTTCATGGAAATTCGTCACTATGACAACGCATTTTTTCGTCAGAAGTGATTGATATCATTTTCATTATAATGTGTACAGATTCAATGAGCAAACCCCCTTATTCTGACAGCCTTTATTGTAGGTATACCAAGGAATGAATGTGATAACCATATAATCGCAGTGTAGCTTTAGAAGCAGTTATCCAGAGTTATCAATACGGAATCCACTCCATGATAGACGAGCCTTAATGGGATTTCAATGATGCTGAGATATTTGCAAAACTCCGGACCGCAGGTGTCTGCGGTGGGGAACGAAAAAGATCGATAGAACCAGCTGAGAGACAGGCGAAACGAAGGACCCGCATGGTGTGGTGGTGAACACGTTACCCCTGGAAAGGGCAATAGCGCGTCCGTTCCCCACCGGACACGCCTGCGGTCCGGAGTTTTGCAAATAACTGAGCATCATTGAAGTTATATTTCGCAACATATCCTGCCGTTAAAAAAGAATAGGCAGTAAATAAAAAGGTTAAGATCTTAGTATAGCACAATTTCTTTTTTTCTTAATTCACATTTTCTTGATGAGCAAAGATGAAGTTGTTAATACACTATTCATACACAATAGCTCACGTTTCTGCCATTTCGCTTTCTTCAGAACCTTAATGTTCTCATGAACACACAATCTATCCAGTCAAATACTTTACCAACTCAAGAAGAGAAGCTCCACAAGTAAATAAGGTTGCATTCAAAAAGTGCCGCTTTAGAAAATTCTGCAACGGTGATGGACCACTCTAAAACGTCAAGAGCACAAAATTGCATAATTTGCCCTATCGGTAAAGATAAAGTTCAACCATGGTATACTCGATTTTTTCTAAAGCGTGTGGGGTTGCATAAATTTGAAAAATGGGTGGACCAACCCGTGTCCGTGTAAAAGAACACATAGTAAACATAAAGTTAAACCAGATACTCTTCCAAACACGCATAGGACACAGAAAAGAGAAGGAGATTTTAAAGTTAAAGTCACTATTCTTGCGCGGGAATCTGAAGCTCCAGCGCGTAATTCTTGAGGCGTATTGTTATGGGATCACATCACGTGTGAGAAGGGCGCATTCTTTTCTGCGGTTCATTTCTGGATTCCTGTAATTTATCCAGAATCCATCGAGTTTTCCCTCCAAAGTATTTTACTCTTGTGACGACTAAGACGCGCACTTTAATGGAAGCGAAAGTAAGACCCATTTCCAAGAGATTGGTAAATGCCGAACGCTTCATCCTTTTTTATTTACTCCATTTTGCTTACATCACACACCTCACATAAGTCGAACGACTACTATAAAATAACGACGTATAAACTACTAATGCTTTTTACACAGGACAAAACAATATGGCTGAACATGTGCAAAGTGTAAAATGGATTAAACTAAAATTGAACTCAATTTACGACTGTTGATAAACACTCGTATGATCCGCCGACAATGTATAAATCAGTGAAACAAAAACCTCATCATTGCTAAATAAATCAGTCAACAAGGTAAGCAAACATATCTATGCTCATTTGCTACTCAATTCATATGGGTATGACCCGTCCTTCCATTTCTTAATTCGGTTTGAGAACTACATCCGATAGTCCAATACCTTTGGGCAACTGCTCTATTCCCGCTAGCATCTTTTCATGACGTTCTTCTGACCATCGTTTTCGTTCGTCACGAGTCCATCGTGAAACAACACCGTCAGCAAGCAGTCGTATCATTACCTAGGCACAGTAAAAGAACTATCGAATTACTCACAACCCTTGTAGCAGAAATACAGTTAAATCAAGACGGAGTCATATTTCTAATTTATAATAAAAAAGATAGTCCATTTCATACATACACATCTACATAGACGGTAACTCAGCTGAAAACTGCTAAGATACTACACTTGTTGATGGCAAAAGATTGATAGAACTAGCTGAGAGACAGGCGAAACGAAGGACCCGCATGGTGTGGTGGTGAACACGTTACTCCCCGGAAAGGACAATAGCGAGTTCGTTCCTTACCGCAGACACGGAATTTTGCAAATATCTCGGCACTTTTTAAGATACTAGCTTTAATTTTAGCAACATTATACAGACTCAACCTGATAGATACGCCTTTCGAAATAATCTGACCATGGGTTTTAGTGAAAATGTGATTTGCCATGAAATATGTACTAATTGTAGTGTGGCGTGTTACTAATGTAGCGGACATTTCGCGCAGCGACTTCATTATCTCGTGCTCTTTTCTAAGAGAGCCAGAAAAATTTACTTCTTCATGATTTCGAAATGGATGTTTCCTCCATACGGCTTCTTTATGTCCAGGTGTGTCCACGTAAAAAGGCAGAGGTTTCGGCTTTCGCAGTGGATAACGCCCTTCGCCATAAAAGTCGTCCAAGTTCAATCGCTAAACTAAATATAACTAATTTCAGACTCAAATTTTTTTTGCTATCTGCAAAAGAAAACTTTTCGGCCAGTCTAAAAACGCCGTTTCCAAAAAACAATACAACCACTTTTCCATCGCTGTACACACGCTTTTCCAAAGAATTCATTGTAATCAGATTGAAAACTGGATTTGGTATCACCAAAACGTAGCAAACTGATGAATAGATAGGATGAAAAGCATAAATTATATGAAAATAAAATTGAGGTTTACTTACGTCAATGTCTTCAATGTCATCTTCCCCTTTAAGTGGTGTGAGAACTGGTGATGCGACAACTTGTGGTAGAAAATGCCGTGACGGCGACATTTCAACAACGTGAAGACCTTGAGACAGAGGAAAGTACTTGGCGAAAGAATCAGTAATTTGAGAGAAACAAGAATAAACATAATGTGGCAGTATAAGATATGAAAGGAATATGAGGATATGGTATGCCATCTAGTTATTTATTTCTGCCGCTCCTGGAGATCACTCAGTACGAAAACGATTTTTATTTTCGCTAGACCTGGATTTTTCATTAATAAATGGGTTCTGGAACCTCCATAGCGTAGGTAGAGGATTGGTTCTCACAGAATTGTCTAGGGAGATAATAGTGCTGCCTTACTAGATCAGAACGCCGTCGCATGTTATCATGTAGGCCAAGCATGCATTCTATGATTGCGGTACTCAACGGACTAGAATGCATGGTCCAACCGTAAGAGATTGACTAATATTTGCAACAAACTTTTTTTTCATAAGAAACTCTCCCAGCGGTTTACCGCCTTATCGCGGCTGGGAGGTGTTCCTCGATGTAGGGCTGCAATATACAGCAGGGTATTCATCATCCCCAGCAGCACTTCCCAAACTAAGGAGTCCGACGCTTCCATCCGGAGGCTTAACTGGTAGTAAACCAATCCAGAGTTAGTATCATCCTGGTATCACACTAGTCGCACGATGCTAAATCTCCTTCTGATTGACAAGGGCGGAGACTGTCTGGGATAGTAACGACCTGAGGAAGGCTTAGGCTAACCTCTGTTAACCCTCTCCTCTAACCTTCCAGTTCAAATCATGATCAAACGCCTCTGTCATTAATGAATCCTTTCCCACCAATACAAATGATGGAATATTTTAATGTGAACAGAGATAAGCTGTACCTTTACGTTCAGCTAACTGCTGGTGCGACTCCTGATTCAAGAGCCCCGTTACAAAAGCATGAGTCAATGCTAAGTAGTTCTTCGTGGATCCTTCGACCTTCACATATATGTCCTTGATACCAATTGCCTAAACGTTTCTGTTGCAGCAAAACAATGATATGAAAACAACATATGCCTTTAATTCTAGTAATGGCATAATATCTGCAAGACTTGACAGAATAGATTACAAAGCATGGAGTTCGGATGTCAATTACTATTAATATTATTATTATTGTTATTGTGCCGATAGAAAAACAATGGCCGCCTTGTTGTTATAAACTCCAGAAATACAAGCCGATGTTTTCACGATAAGCACACACATGGTTGTTACTACATTATTTATGTGCTGTGGCAAAAAGATCGATAGAAATAGCTGAGACGTGCGAAACAAAGGACCCGCATGGTGTGGTGGTGAACGCGTTACTCCCCGAAAAGGATAATAGCGCGTTCGTTCCCCACCATAGACACCTGCGGTCCAGAGTTTTGCAAATATCTCAGCAACGTTGTGGTTGCATTTCGCTTAGTAACCTGCCATGAAAATTATAGAAGGCAGAAAACAAAACGTTAAACATTACATTATTTATTTTCCCACAAAAAATGGAGTTGGGCGGTTTTCGCCTTCCTAAGAGCCTGTAGGTAAAGGTAAAGGTTACTGCAATGTCGCGGTTAATAGGAAAACGGAAATAGGAGCCGAATTTATACCAAACGAAAAACTGATTTAACGCTGTTCTGAAGCACAATTAATTCAGTCCGTTTTCAGTTCAAAAGAATAAAGAAAAGATGTGCTATTATTAAATTAATGGAATATTTCAAAAATTTTGAGGTCTCTAGCGGTTCTTTTCATAAAAAAAAACTTGAGGATGCGGGGTGGAGAATAGCACAGTAGTAGTGAAGCCGACGATAAAGAACATAGTATTGCCACGACCGACTTTCTATTAACCTCGGCATTGATCAAGTGAATGAACCGCAGGGAAGAATGCCTCATTATCACGCGTGATATAGGGCAGTATATAAAACTGCTTTTCTGATGTGAGGGGCACATTATACTTCCACGTGATTTCTGTGCGGTTGGTCTCTACGTGACATACTTAGTGGAAACCTCATAGGAAGCGGTGAGTGTGCAAAGCTGTGTTCAAAGTGATTGAAATCTTGGTTTGGGGTTTCTTTGTTTGGTTATGGAGGCGTCTGGCCGAGTAGATTGCTATCAACTTGACCTTTCCAAGCTCTGAAGAAGGCGAAATTCGCCGAAACGTCAGCTTAATCGTGAACAAAGAATAGTAACACCTCGCGTTTGCTCAACAAAAATACGAAGAACATAGTATTGTTTCGAGCCCGCCCTAGACTCGTTGAACCTCTCATCATTCCTAAATCGAGAAATTGGTACCAGACTTTGCTAGATCAACTCACCTCTGCAATCCGAGTGGTGTGGGGAGCGCGGTAAGTCCGGCAATTTCAGGCGCCCTGGTGGAATATGAGCTATATACGAATAGTGCTTTAGTAGTACACTTCCATGCACTTTAGCTAGTATGAACCATAGATAACTGATTTTCATTGTTTTCATGTCATTTAGAACGCAGTCATTACTAAATTTTCTGTATTCGGTCGATGGCGTCCCAAAAATCGATTTTAGACTACGCCTTCGTCAAAAAAAGCTATTTTCTATACATCACGATTTGCATAGAACCTTTTTTCAATGAAGTTTGTTCGTCTTACTCAGCCTTGTAGGAAGAGATTGTTGTTGACGATGGCAGTAAGAAGAAAGCTCAGCTGGGAAGTACAACAGATAAGGAAGGAATAAGATGCTTTTGCTGCACAGATGCAAGTACATGAGTTCCGTGATTAATCGTCGTTTTTTGCACTGAATAAGTAAGAGTGTTTTGACGCTTTCTCCATGATGGGTGGGCTCCAGTTAACGCCGACATGACTCACAAATGAGGTTACTGGGTTGTGCGAAAAATTAGGGATCGTAGAGCGTGAATACACTGCAGTCACACCTAGTTTTATGTGGCGGCCATATGGGACTACATGTAATTTCTATTTCCCGCTCTTGTTAACGAATCATATGTGATTTATATGTTCCAATCTACCTTAAGGAAGAAAGTGCTAATACGGTTGACCCGCCTTTATGCCGCTTTGCTGTAAGAAATGTAACTTACAGTCGCGCTACTCATGCGGGACACCACGTGATTTTGAGGCAATTCAGTGTGCTGCGCTGATTTGGCACATATCTTTTCTATTAATCAGGACGTATCCATGCTTGTGTACATGGCTATGTTCTCGTTTACGCGGATTATATTCTTGGAGCCAACTCTACTACAAGATTGCAACCACAAGTAACATGGGAGACGGTTAAGAATCGCCTACAACAAATAAACTCCCGCAGTTAATTTGGGAGAGACTACAAGCCACCCAAGAGTATAGCCAGGCCCACGTTCAGGGCTCAAAAAGCTATATGTGGGTATCAAACGCTACACACAGTAAAATAGACGGGTTTCATTCCCCTGACCTCGAAAGAGGCCCCAATACAACAGCATTGGGTAGAGCCAGGTAAGGAGGATAGGGTATTAGGTGACCGGATTGGCTGAGACGCCAAACATTCACCGCCGCCTATGACACCGGCGAAGAATGTTCCTCGGAACATGAGACAGTAGAGGAGTCGACAGCGTCGGCGTTGTCGTCAACACGAGTTTTGCCATTAACAGCGATTTATTCGAACAAATACCAACCCTAGTCGGAGGTTTACGGTCGGGAAGTGTGGATCAGTACCGGCTTCAACAATGTTCGTCATTTATTTACCGATATCAAGTTATGACGACGACGAATTAGAATCGTTCCACGTGGGCATGGAGAAGACCTCTGAGTTTATCACGACAACCAAGACTGTTCACGATAACTCGCACCTCCAGAAGCTCCGCTCTGAACACTGAACGTCGGATTCCTACAATGGAAAGTACTACAACGAAATAAACCGTATCATAGTAAATCAAAGGTTTCGCTTAACCGATCTCGCTGCTGTCCCAAAACTCTGCACGCTATTAAACCAGCGCCACATTAGTGCAAGACTTCACTTCTCGTGGAAAGGAGAAAAAGCCGCTAAATTCAAACACCTACTCCAGAAATCTCCATGAATTGATATTTATTCAGCTCACAAGGCGGCTTTTAGGACGGCTCCGCTCTTCATAGTATCGACGAGGAACACGATAGGCTCACTCAAGACGTCCGTCTTCAGAAACTCTCGAGCTATAGACAATCGTCACTTCACGTACGAACTTGCAAACAACGAAGTCAGGCGATGAAAGAAAAGCTTAAATAAAGAATGCTTATTTGGAGACACTTGGATGGCCCGTATTCACTGGTTGTGCAGGCTCCAGCATAATTCTCGCTCTATAGAAACTTGCTGGTTCGCGCATTGTGGTTCCCTAGAGTCTGCAAGACAGCTTGGCCAAAGTCTGGTCAAGGTCGTCACCACTACAAGCGGTCACAGTCTTAGTGGATCAGAAGGAGATTTGCCACTATGCGACTAGACTGGTACCAGGACGGTGGTGCATCCTGTTATTATGTATTCTTTCTTGATAAGCTTGCACGAGGTTGATAAATATATTTACTTTCGGCTAATGTTTCGACGTCTTCGTCTTCCTCAGAGCCGATGATCCGAGTCGATAGTCCATGATTGTTGTTCGTCTCGACGTTGCAGCTTCGCCTTCGTGTCAGGTCTTCCTCAGTGATCCATCTCCTCGAATGTGGCATCCTTACTCAGTGATGCCCTTTTATACACGATGCTGATGGTGAATATAATGATAGTGCCTGGTGATAACAACTTGTTTTTCTTCAGGACATACATTATTGCGCACATCGTGCAAAAGTCGGTGTTGTTATCAGCTAGCACAAACAAAGCGTAGTAATATTTCGAAACCGACTTTCTATATTATTTATATTTCGAATATTATATATTTTATATATTTCTATCGAAATAATGCTCCGTAATATCAGCAACTATAGCCCAATCTGCTTGCTATTTGTTGTTCACAAACTTTTCACTCCAGTCAGCCTAAACAGGATTGACAGAACACTAAACGAAGGACAGCCATGTGAGCCAGCAGGGTTTCGAAAAGGATTCATTACGACAGACAACATCCGCACGATAACGAGACTCACTGAAGTGTCGCGGTACAA